GGGCTGATGGCACCTGCCCCACACTGTGTCCTGGGAGGGGACCCCCTTCTTCCGCAGGTGTCCCTACTTTCCAGCGCCCTGTGGACCTCCGGGTGATGAGGAGCCACGGTGGGTGAGCTCTGGGGGTACAATGGCACCCATCCCCAAGGAAACACGCTGAACCCTCCCCTCCTGCTGGCACTCACCGCGAGGGTCCACCTGGGTGAGATAATAGAGGACGCAGGCACCGGCACCGTTCGCCTTGATCAGGTAACCTGTCTGCAGGGACACGGCCCTCACAAAATCCTTCCGGGGTGGGTATTTCTGCAAAGAGATGCCGCGCACCTCAGAGATGCCTGAGCCGCTGCCCGGTCCTGCCTGTGCTTGCTGGCCCGTGGGACCAGCACCCCTGCCAGGGCTGGGGCCGGCCGGGGACTCACCGGGTGCTTGACGCTGTAGTTGATGATCATGTAGTCATTGCCGAGGGGCAGCCAGGAGCGCAGGGTGACGAAATCCCGGTTCTTCAGGGGGCTTGGGCATTTCCCTGCGGACGGACCCTGTTACGCCCCAACCCATTGCCCCCGTGGCCCCACACCCATGCATGGGGCTGCGCGGTCAGGGAGGGGGCCCCTTGGGGCTCCCCAGGGGCTGGGGGCTGCTCACAGGAGTAGTATCCCACGTCAGCGTTAACGGTCAGGCGCCCAATGTCATAGGTCTCGATCATGTTCGAGTCCCATTTCTTGCGGTAGCGGGTGTCGTGCAGCACGTCATAGAGCGTCTCGGCAGGGACGTCCTTGCAGGATATGCGAGTCTGTGGGGAGACAGGCAGTTGGGCAGGGGGGGCAGCACCCACCCCCAGAGCACGGAGCCGTGCCTATCTGGGGACGAGGACTTCAGGTCGTTTCTGTGCGCGGTGGCGTGCGCCCGTGCTGCTATAAAGCCACGTACGCGTGTGCCATGGAGGATGCTCTGCACACGGGGTGCAGGGAATGTCCGATCCTCTGCACACAGGGTGCAGGGAATGTCCCCGCTTCAGGACAGCACAGGCAGAGCCACCGGCCCCGCTGCCAGCATACAGCACAGTGCAAAGGCAGGAGGGCAGCGGGGGTAGAAGGACCGTCAGCCCTCAAATGGAGCTGCCTGGTGGTCCAGGCTTTGGTGCCTGGGTAGCCTGAGCCCAGCCCTGTGCCCTCACCTGATGTTCCTGCAGGGCAAGCAAAGGGATGCTCCTGCCCTGGCATGATGCTCTCCAGCACGGGGTCTGGTCCGGGGAGGTTGGCAGGGCCCCGGCTGTAACCGGAGCCAGGGAGC